CACACACACACACACACACACACTCCTTCCCATCTGAATCTTACAAGGAAAAACTCTGCACATCCGCCCCAGAGAAGAAACTGCCCTCTTCCTCAACCCTCCCACCCACCCAGAAGAGAAGATTTACAATACAATCACTGTAAGTGCCCTGCTCGTCACAGCATCAATCCTAATCCTTAAAGATGGCTAAAAATAAAGACGGCGGTGACGGCGACAGGGAAGGGAGCTGCCAGCGGAGGCTCAGGAGGGCAGCAGCCAGTCACCGAGCCCACCCGGTCCTCCTGTCCGGGGTCGGTCAGCTCAGCTCCGGCGGGAGGGGGGGATCTGAGGGAGACACTCGCAGGAGGGAGCAGGGAAGAGCGAGGGTGAGGAAGAAGCTGGGACGGTCGGGGAGGGAGGCTTACCCACATCTGATCCAGCTGACGGGGGCCATATGGCAGCTGCTAGCCAGATAAAGAGATTAAGACTAGGAGGGAGTGCGATTACAGCTGTCTAGCCAATTCAGGCAGCTCAAATCTGCAACTTCTAAATTAGTCTCCTCTACTCCAGCCGACAGGAGGGGGGAAAAGTGGGCAAAGCAGATCGTACACGCTTTCAAGTCATTTTAAAGCTGAACAGATTTAACTGTAAAGGAAAAACAAATCAGATTATTAGGGCTAAAATACTAATTATTTGAATTATTCAAAAAAAAATAAAGTTTTGCTCTTTGCATTTAAAAAATACAAAACATTAAAAATATGTATTATGTTATTACTTGTATCTAAAAAAAATTACTAAAAGCTAAAAACAACCCCACACAGTTTTACCCAAAATACATTAAATAAAACGTCTAATTTAAAATAGACAAAATGTGTCCAAAAAGGATGCCAGACAGCACAAACAGGAAAACAGAACCAGGAGTTTTAAACGCGTCTCTCTCAGCTCAAAACTAAAAACACAACCGAGTATTCCCGGACTGCGCTCACCCCTCAAACAGACTTTTACTGTTTACTACTTGAGCACTCACACAGGTTTGACACAGCGGAGATTCCCCAGAATAAAATAACTACTCCTCGGTGCGCAGGACTACTATATTTGTTCTCGCATGCACGCACGGACACACAAAACAATACCTGCAGCGGTACGCATCAACTTGATTAACTCCAGTGTGGCAGAATAGCCGGACGCTTCTGACTGGCTGTGTATCCTTCTCACTCTGAATCAATGAGTGGGAAGAAGAGGAGAGTAGAAGAAGAGGAGAGGTAGGCAAAAAAAGAGAGAGAGGGAGAGAGAGAAACAAAACAAACAAAAAAAAAATCCACGCTGTTCAAACTGCGAGGGACAGATGCAAAGTGGAGGAGATGTTGGAGGGGGAACGAGATACCACCTCCCTCCTCCTCTTCCTCCACCTCCTCCTTCTAACTGGCGCTGATCGGCAGCCGCAAACACACACACACACACAGAGCACTAACTCTCCCAGGCTGCCGCTGAGACTCACAATAAAGGACCGGGGAGGGGTGGTGGAGGAGGAGGAGGAGGTGGGGTGGATGGCAGCCTGTCAGCTGCTCTGACATCATCCTCAGATGGAGATGCTACCTCCAGCTGTGCTCTTTCTACAGCCATATGCTGCCTCCTCTACACTCCTGCCACCAGACTCCTCTTTCATTCTAGCAACACTCCGCAACTTTGTCTCTCCTTCTCCCCCTTCCTTTTTTTTGCTTCCTCTGTAAGAAAAAAAACAAACAAACCCTAAATGCAGTGTGATTTGTGTCATCATTAAACATGAGTTTTCTTCCCCTACTGCTACTATCAAAACAAAAAGTTTACAGAAAACAAATAAATAATAAAGATGCTGTTTGTTTGTTTTTGTGTGTGCGTGTACTTTAGGCGCTCTGCATATTTCAAGTGCACCTCTGTCTGTGCACCTCCTCCTTCCAGTAACCATAAACAAAGACCAGCACATTCTGCAACCGACAGGCACTCRCAGCTGATATTGTTTTCCACTTTTTTATGGTTCAGCGCCTCTGCGCCTCATCTTTTATTCCTTCGTTCACTCATTCATTCATTCATCTATCCACCCCCCAAGTTTGAACAACCCCCCCTCCCTGTTTGAACAACTCATAGGAACAGAAAAAAAGAAAAGAAATGAAATGCAGGGAACAATGGGAACAAGCCATAAAGAAAGAACTCAAAGAGAAACAAAAAGGGGCCCTTTAATAAGCAGAGGAAAAAAGTTTTTAGATTGCTTTCTTTTAACAAAACGTGAACCAGTTTGGAGCTTGTGAATTAAATATACTGAGTTTAAATACGGTGGCCGAGGTGGCTCAGAAAAGTTTAAAAGGACAAACAGCGCGAGAGCTGTGCAACCAGCCCCTAATTAAAACACATAAACGCCGTGTTTATTTTCTTAAGTGTTCTGAAATATTTTTTGTCTTCATTTGAACGTCACTGCACTTATAACTTTCTTAAATGTAGCGCTGAAATTAATCTCTGCTTTACTTTTTGGCAATTTATCACCACGACAGTACATCTGGACTCAGGAAATAAACAAACAAGACAAGTCAATACTAATTGTTTAAGTTGGTTTAAAGGCAGTTTGAGTTTTAAAACAATAAGCTTTAAAGTCGAGGAAATGTCGCGGCCGGCAGGTTGAATACAGTCGCCGAACAACAGCAGAAGACTGTAATTAATTACTTACCAGAAGACACAACAAACAGGCGCGCGCACGGAGGCACGCTGCTAGCTATAGCCCGATAACTGCTAACAAAAGTAAAGCGGACAGGACACAAATATTGAGCTATTTACAGTTGTTCCGAAGGCCCCGATGCTATGACAACAGCTGGTGAAACACCGCGGAGGGACACGGCAACTGTTAAAGAGCCGAGACAACACAGTCATGCTAAGACGCGGCGCTGAAGTTGGTTTTCGATTTCTTATCCATGTAAAGGGCTATGTCACGTCTTTTGTGCGCATTTTAACTATAGCTCTATTTCCAAACCTTTAAAAAAAAATTTCACATAAATAAAACTTTGCACATCTTCACACTAAATATAGACTCCATTAAACACAGCGTGTGAACTGTGAAACTTTATTTGTAAAAGTTGAATTAGGGCAACTTTAAAGCTTTTTTTAGATCAGGTTTAGCTGAGTACTTATGATTTGTCAAACCTGAGGTGAACATCTGAGGTAGTCTAAGCGACTTAAACATAAATAATAAAAGTTCAAAGATCACAAACTGTGTTTTAAATTAAATTTTTAGTAAATCAGTTCAGATTTCACACGTATATATCTATATATATTGATAAAGCTAAGATGCCAAAAGGAGTGACATTTTCCTTTATCATGCTGCCGACCAGGAAGCTGCCAATCGGAAGCYAACTTCAGCGGCGTTGCTAAGGAGCTACTTTCCCCCACCTCCGTTTCCCGAACCTCCTTTAATCGGACTCCGGTATGAAATGCTGCACTTACAGACAACAAGGTCCGGCGACTTCCTCCGTCAAATATTCCCCCTCTTTTTTTCCCCTTTCGGAGCCCAAACTACTTTGTAGTAATTTCCATAACAGGCTGCCAAGGCGAGCAGGCGCAGGGGGGACGGGGAGTGTTGTAGCACTCTCTGCGGCGACCAGATGTTTCCGAGCTGTTGCTGCTCAACTCGAGCCGGGGAGAGAGGCAGGCGGGCGGGCAAGGCGAGGCGAGGAGTTGCCAGCGGTGCCACCGGCGAGGAGGAAAGCGAAAGGCCCCCCCACCTCGCTTCAACAGAGGGAGAGATACGTCTTCTTCTGTCGTCGGCGTAGGTTGACACCAGGCAACAACAACAGAGGCGGCGGCAGCAGCACACCGTGAGGAGGCAGGAAAGAAGAAGCTGGGCCGAACCAACTGGTTCTGCGAGTCAGCGGGGCGGACTGGCGCAGCGGAGAGCGAGCGGCGCGCGGTGGGTTCTGGGTAGTGTAGTCCAGGATGGGGGGGAGTTGGGGGGCGGGGCTGCTGTGAGCAGGTGCATCACCTTGACAGAAATAAACATTTGGTTTCCAGTGGAGCCGGATAATGCTTTGATTGTTGAACTAACAGCAGAACACAAGCAGGCTTTAATCAGAGGCAGAACAGCTGTGCCTCTTCCAGAAGTGCCTCTTTAGTGCTACTAATAAGTGTGAAGATGTAATAAATGGTTCGTATTACACCACTGTGTATCTGTGGGCACATCTGAGTGTTATTTTTAATATATACGTAGAAACAACCATGCATTCACAGACTGGTAATTATACAGGCAGGTGTGCGTTTCATACAAGTACTTTGGGATTTTATGTGTAAAATTTGTGTAATGGTTTTGAAACTTTYTTCTTCTTTTGGCTATTCCCTTTTCGAGGGTCGCCCACAGCGAGTCATCCTCCATACACTGTCCTCTGTCGTTACTCTAACTACAGTTACATTTTGACTCAAAATATTATCTTCAAAACCGAATGTAACTTGTCATAAAACATGGTAGCACCATAATAATTTCATTACTGTCTTTTGCTGCTCTTGTAAGAGCGGACTCGTAGTTTTCACACAGCAACTGTTTGTGTGAGGCTTCAGCAGTTGTGTATAAAGTACTTGAAAAAATAACAAAGTAGCCTAAAAGTAAAGATTATTTAACAGAAAATGACTGGTAAATTTTCAAATGTCTTCAGATAATATCTTTATTATGTTTATATCTTTATTTGTAGCCCATGATGACTGGAAGCAATGGCTCTTAGAATCCAATTAAACAATTACACCATTATGACATGGATTAATTAAAAGGAATAAACACATAATTTACTCAAACAGCTGAACGCCATAGTTTATTTCTTCCTTTTTAAGTTAGATGTTTTGAGGAMGACAGTGTTTGTGTCAAAACAATACAGAGCTCAGTTCATGGTTCACAGAGTGAAAACAGGCTTGACGATGCTTGTCTGAGTTGTTTGTTTCAGGACGTCCGTGGGGGCTGATGACAATGGCACGGCTTTATAATAAAAAAAACTCATTTATTTAACTCATTTATAACGCCCCAGTAATCAAGTGTTTTGAGACTATTAGTTTATTATAAGTTTTTAAAGAAATATTCAGCACTTAGAGCAAATTTTACACATTTAAAAAAGTCACAATATGCAAAAAGAAAGAGGTATTAGGAATGGCTATAGCTCTAGTGAAAATTAAAAATAGAGGCTAATCAGTGTAAAATTAAATGGGTGAACGTGCCTCCTGTTAAATTAACGGCTTTCTAAAGAGTCTAACTCTCCCATGGGACGCGTGACTGGCACTTTAATGGAGACCTATACGACTCTCTTTGCCTTGTAACACCAAGCCTTTGTGCAGTGAGGCCTGCCTAACCTGAACGGCTGCTTACAAAGATCAATTCTTCTCATGTTAAACTGAAACTGGGGATTTCTGTAAAAAGACACAGAACTGCAGTGATGAGCTGTGCGGTTTCTGCAAGACACCAAATAGATTTAACAGAGCGACTTTAAGTCATGATTTAGAAACGATAAATCGGAATGTCGAACGGAACATTGAAAGGTTTAGATTGAAGAAAACACCCCCTGTAGAAGTTTCGACTGGGCCGTCTATCACGTTTTAAATTCCTCTCAGATGTGGGTCACTGGGACAAAAAACCTTTTATGTCTGCTTGTCGAGAGAGCTTTGACATGAAAAAAAAGTTTGCTTGCCTGTGTGAGCCTATTTGCATTCCTCAAACCCGTCCCAGTAAACTAATTGGCGTTACTAATAGATGGCTGGATGGACCGCAGCCCCCGTGTGGTAATGAATTCACACGATCTGGTGTCGTCGCTGAAGGACTAGTTAAAATTTAAATGAATGATGACCCTGTTACGTGTCTTGTCAGTTTGGGGGATCCACGTTGCCCGATAGTCACAATGAGCCCCTTGTTCGTGCATGAGCGTACAATTAGGCCCAACAAGCAGATCAACAATAGATCTGCAGGAAAAAAGMTGGATTTTAGGGCAAACTTTCATTACTATTAGCTAATTTGTGTGATACATATGAAGCAGAACCTCTATTTTTGGACATGTTTGCAGATTTTTTTAAGTTTTATTTATTTATTTATTTATTTTTGTAGTTTAAAGTAGTCAGTGCATCTATGGAATCAAAAATAAAAAGTTATCCTAAGCTTTCCTAAAAGAGTTTGCAGCCATAGTTTTCTAGACGTATTGATATGCAATTCTAAAATGGGGGTACGCACACAATGTAAACAAAGCACTTTTTTCTGCATACTTAACTCAACATATTTTAGTTTAAATACTTTACAATAAAATTGTTCGTGGACGTCACCATTGTTGACCTATTTTTAATCACTTTGGCTATTTTTGTAGGACAATTTTTTTTAAATTTAACCATCGATATGAGAAAAAATATTGTGCAGATTTTGTTTTTGACGGATCTTCACAAGTAGCTTTAAGATAATTCTTCTTCTAGTGCAGGAAAATGTGACGTCACGCTAAGATCTAAGCTCAAAATCTGTTCTGCTCGAGAAATTCCCATGCAGTTTTTTTTTCTAAACCCATGACACCTTTCCTGTTTCCCCTCCCACCGACTAACCCACTCATTGTTCAGCTGCAGACAGATGCCAGAATACAGACGTGTGTGTGTGTGTGTGTGTGTGTGTGTGTGTGTGTGTGTGTGTGTGTGTGTGTGTGTGTGTGT